TAGGGGACAAGTGAGATCTAGGCCTGTGGAAATACCCACACAAATGAAACACTCCCCATCCTTAGAATCCGGAGGTGGAAATACAGGCTGTTGAAGAAGGAAGGGAGGCCAATGACACATTTTAAAGATTTCCATGAAAATAACAGGTTGGATGTTTAAAGTGAGGAGTTTCAGTCATTTGCAAAATTTACCTATAAAGAATAGCAAGTTCTCCAATGATTATGGATAAATGAAGTATCATTATCAGTAGATTTTAAGATATTGGTCATTACCATATGAGTCCTACAGCAAGTTTTCTCAGTGCATTGAAAAGTCTTGGCTACCATAGACAGGCCAGTTTCCACTCATGGGCCATATTAGCACATATCTTTGTGTTCCAGTCACCCACATTTATAACCTTGGACACTGATGCACTGTTCGACCATAAGCAAGTCACTTAACTATAAAATGGGGATGCTAATACCTATAACACCTATCTCAGAGGGTTGCTGAGAGGTTCTCTGTAAACTTTAAAGTGCTAAATAAATGGGTCATTAGTATTACTACTATTGTCGAGTCAGTGGCAAGTACCACCTTCTGTAAGAAGCTTTTCTTGGTCCTCTTCAATCTTACTGCCTTCTCTCTGGTAATTTTCTCTAATTTATCCTGTATTTATATTTGTACCTACTTGTATGCTGTGGTGCAGTGGATAGAGTGCCCTGCCTGGAGTCAGGAAGAGCTGAGTTCAAATCCTGCTTAAGATACTTCATAGCTATGTGACTCTGGGTAAGTCACTTAACTCTGCCTCAGTTTCCTCATCTGAAAAATGATCTGGAAGAGGAAATGGCAAACCATTTCTGTACCTGTGCCAAGAAAACCCAATGCGGTCACAAAGAATTGGATGTGACTGAACAATAACAAACCTACTTGTATGTGTCTCTCCCATTAGACTTAGAGCAGGGACTGTCTTTTGCCTCTCTTTGTATCCCCAGTGCTAGTACAATGCCTGGTACATAGTAGGTATTTAATAAATGCTTGTTGATTTGGCAAGTGTGTTACAGTGAAAAGAGGTCTGACTTTAGCAGTCAGAGGACCTGAGTTCAAATCTTTACCACCTGGGTGACCTTGGGTAAGTCACTTACCCAAGTGGGCAAGTTTCCACTTTTCTGCACCTGTTTCTTCATCTATAGAATGAGAGAGTTGGACTAGATGTCCTCTAAGGTCCTTTCCAGCTTAGTAGATCTAAGACTTTGGTGTTATTGCTATTATCATTATAATTATCATCCCATCCTGGGAGACATATGGTGACATGGTAAGAACCCTGACCAGACACCTGAGTTTGAACCCTGCCTTCATCACTCACCACCTCTGTAACCTCAGGTAAGTTGCTTTACCTCTCTAGGGATCATGGCTCCTTTACCTGTAAAACGAGCAGCTCAGACTTGGGTTATCTCTAAGGTCCCTTCCAGGGTGAGCTTTGTGTCGTGTGGATGGGGCTGCTGTTGCTAAGGATACACTGTTTAAAGGTGTGGTCTGTAAAGATTCATCATTTCCTCAGGAGAGCATTATCTTTCTTTAAGTGTCTCTCCCCTGTCCTTTCACCTGGGAATTCAAGAACAAATTTCAGTGCTTAATCCTCTTTAATCAGACCGCAGAAAAATACACACACACACACACACACACACACACACACACACACACACACACACTCCATTCTCTCTTTTGTCTTCCCTCAGTTACCATCTGAGTTGTCCAGAGGCCTTAGGAAACAAAAGAACATTAGAACCTGGCTCCCCACTTGCAGATCAAATTCACTTCAGAAGAGAGGTTTCTTTTTTCTCCCTCCCACAACTGTTATCCCTTAAAAAAAACTTTATGTAATTGAATATTGATGCAGTCTTAAAGGCTCATTGTCATAATGATGAATAATTAATATAATCATAACTAGCATTTATATAATGCTTCAAGGTTTAGAAAGTGCTTTACAAATATTCTCATTTATTCCTCCCAATAACCCAAGGAATTAAGTGATATTATTATTATTACTACTACATATACAGCTGAAGAAACTGAGGCAGAGGTTAGGTGGTTTGCCCAGGGTCACACAGCTTCTATGTGTTTGAGTCTGGATTTGAACTACAGTCTTCCTGATTCCGGATCCAACACTTTATTTTTTTTTTAATTTTTTTATTTTTTTGGTAAGGCAATTGAGGTTAAGTGACTTGCCCAGGGTCACACGGTTAATAAGTATCAAGTGTTTGGTCTGAGGTCAGATTTGAACTCAGGTCCTCCTGACTTCAGGGCCGGTGCTCTATACACTGCGCCACCTAGCTGCCCCTTACCAACACTTTATTCATTGAGATACCTAGCTCCTTACAGTCCTGATTTAGGTGACTTCATTTAAAAATAATTGTGGAGAAAAACTTCCAACAAATAAATATTTGTGGCTCACTTTCCCTTTGTCCTTAGACGCCAGTGTTGATGCTTCTGGAAGGAAGATGTTAGCTACATTTGGTAACACTCCCAGATCGAGTGAGTCTCCACAGTGTTCAAGACCTTAATTCTCTGTTCATTCAGATGGAAAGGGAAGCAAAGACTGTTAAAACCAGGTGTTATTTCATCTTATTTTAGAGTTATTATTGTGGCTGGGAAAGGAAATAAGGAACATAAAGATAGGCTTCACAGCATTTTTTAAAAACACAAAATAAAGGAATATTGTAGCTGCTTTAGAAGGAAGGGAAAGTTCCAAACCCAGTTCTGATACTAATGTGCTTTGTGACCTTGGATTAGTCCAAGAGCCTCAGTTTTCTTCTCTTCTTGTAAAGCCTAGATGTTCTCTAAGGTTTCTCTCACCTCTGAGGTTCTGTAGTGGATTCTAAGATTACACCATAATATGCCAACTCCCTTTGCCTTTTGGCCTCAGCCTAGAACTTCACTGTACAAGGAAAACCCCTTTTGACTTTAGTGTACTGAGGTCCTTGCTACCATTTAGCTTCTAAACTGTTTATTAGAGAAGAAAGAGAAAGGGAGAGAGGAAAAGGAAGACGGAATGGAAGAGGTAGAGAGAAGGAGGGAAACAGAAGCAGAAAGGGATTCAGAGAGATTCAGTGCTAAAGACAGAGACAAAGACAGAGAGATAGGGACACAGACACACAGACAGAGATATAGACAAAGCCAGAAAGAGACAGAGATTGAGAGAGACAGAGACACAGAGACAGAAACACACACAGAGAGAACAATGGGAAGATAGAGAGAATCACAGAATTTCTGAGTTGGAAGGGATGTCAGCAGCAATCCAGTCCAACCTATACCCCAAAGCATTCCTTCTACAACCTACCTAACAGGTATTCATGCAGATTTCACTTGATGTCCTCCAACTACACCTCCCATGACATCCCATTCATTTTTTTTATATGAGGCAATTGGGGTTAAGTGACTTGCCCAGAGTCACACAGCTAGTGATCCCATTCATTTTTGGGATGTTTTGGGAAGTTTGGGAAGATTTCCTGATAGCAAGCACCATCCATCCATGGCACCTGGTTCTGCCCTCTGAGGCCAAACAGAACACATCTAATCTCTGTACCTTATGACAGCCTTTCAAATGCCTGAAGATAGTGGGCAGTTATCACCACTACAATGCACTTCCCTTCTTCTCCACTATAATTCCTTCAATGGATTCTTACTTGACATTAAACTAAAATCCTCTACAATTTGGATTGCCCTCCTTTTGATAACAATGATAATAACTAGCATTTATATAGCAATGAACTTTATAAATATTATTTCATTTTATCCTCTGGAGGGAAGGTACTATTATTAATTACCCCCATATTACAGATGAGGAAACTGAGGCTGAGAGAGGTTAAGTGACTTGTTCAGGGACACATAGCTTTTGGAAGCAGGAAGACTTTTGATCCACTGTGCCACCTAGCTTGGGTATCTATCTAAGTTATCCATGTCCTTTCTAAAAGGTGATGCCAAGAAATGAATATACACTTCCAAACGTGGGCCAATCAGGACAGAATACAATGGGACTATCAGTTCCCATAAGCCCCCGATTCTCTTAAGCATTAAAATGACCTCAGATTTTTTCATTTGTTTATTTATTTGTTTTGCTTTGGTTTTGGCTGTCATATGCCAGGGTTGACTTATTAAGATTGCAGGCTGGGGCAGCTAGGTGGCGCGGTGGATAGCGCAACCGATCCTGGAGTTAGGAGGACCTGAGTTCAAACCCCGACCTCAGACCAAACAGCCGACACTTGCTAGCTGTGTGACTCTGGGCAAGTCAATTAACCCCAATTGCCAGAAAAAAAAAAAAAAAAAATTGCACAACCGTCCAGATCTTTTTCCAGATGAACTGCTGTATAACTGTTGCCTCCTCTGTATTCTTGAAATCAAGTTTTTGAACCAAAGTGTGAGAGTTTCTATGCATTCTTATTAAATTTCCTTTTATTAACTTCAGCCTAATGTTCTAGTCTGTCAAATCATCTAGGATTCTAACTATGACTCAGTGTGTCAGAAGAGAAGACATGGAGTCAGGTGGGGCAGATTTAGAGGGAAGAAGAAAGGGAGGAAAAGAGAAAAATGCAGGGGAGAAGTGGGGAGAGAGAAGATAATAGAGAAGACGAGGGAGAGAGGAAGAAAGAAAGGAAGAGAGGGAGAGGGGAGTGAAAGGGAGGAGAAAGAGAAGTGGGACGGCGACGGGGGCGGAGGTGGGGGAAGAGGCTCTGAGGGAAATTCCCAGGCAGGGAAATCTTCAGCTTGTCCCCGACCCACTCCTCCCTCTGGGGAAGATGTTTGAGTCCAAGGCGTGGGAGGGTCTGTTTTGCGACCTAAGGGAACCAGAGAGATCGGAAGCCCAGGTAGAGTGAGGGAGAAGCGCTGGCAAGGATAAGCCGGGCACTAGGTGGCAGGTCAGAGGACAGCCGGGCGGTCTCTACAGAAGGCGGAGGGAGGCGCAGGCTGAGGCCGGGGACTGGACAGGATGGGGGCTCGACGGGGCGGACTCTCTCATCACTCACCTTGCTCTCTCCGCTGCTGCTGAGGTTCGCCTGGGAGCGGGGAGCCCCACCCAGGTGTGGGTTCGGCCCCGGTCGACAGCGGGAGGCCCGACTTGGCCAGGGTTCGAATGCTGGGTCCCAGGCTTCCGACTCGGCCAATACCTGGTCCAGCAGCAGTGATTCTGACTCCGGCTCATTCTCCTCCCCTTTTGGGGGAGACTCAGAGTCTTGGACAGCGCAGTCCCCGTGGGCCCTTTTCTTTGAGCCTTCCTCCTGCCCATCCTTCGCGTCCTCCTCCTCCTGGCAGGCCTCAGTGCCGTGCTGCCCATCGCTCAACTCCTGGACACCAGGGACCCCTGGGCTCTTATCAGGGCTGCGCAGCTGCCTCCGCACCCGCCTGCTTCTGCTGCTCCCGCTGCCCATGGCCCGGCCTTGGCTGCACTGTTGGGAGAGGGCTGCTGATCCTCCCGCCTCAACCAAGGGCTCCGGGCATCCCGGCCAGGGAGGGAGGGAGGGAGAGGGTGGGCCTGGGAGGGGCGGGCTGGCGGGCGGGCGACGAGCCCACTCTCAGGCCCTCCCTGCTCTCCATTCCCTCAGTCTCTGGCCCTCCCTCTTTCCACCCTTATGTATTCACTCATTCCCTCCCTCTTCTTGCTTTTCTCTACTTTCTCTCCCCATCTCTTTTCTCTTCTTTCCCTTCTCTTTCTTCCCCCTCATCCCCTTCTTTCTTTCCCTCACTCATCTCCTTCTTTTAGTCCTTCCCACTCCTTACCTTCAATCATTATTACTTCCTCTCTCCTTACTCTTCTTTCCCACCTCTATCTCTTTCATTCCCTCCCTTCCTTTTCCTTCATCTTCCTAATTCCCCTCTTTCCCCCCCACCATCATTCTCTCCTTTCTTTTTTCTCTTTCTTCCCTTTATTTGTCCTCTCCCAATTCCCTCCTGGCTTTTTCCTTCATCTCCATCATTCCTCCTTCCCCCTCCCTTTGTTTTCTTTCCCTCTCCCCTTCTTTTCTCTCTACATCCTCTTTCATTTTAACTTCAACATTTAACTTAAAAAAACCAGTCTTCAACCTGAGCTGTATGAAGTCTCAGGGATGTCTAAGGAAAGGGAGAGAGAAGTTTTCACTCCATCAGAACCCAGCCTGTGTTTTCCACTGAACAGGCCTCCCTCCTTCCCAAAGCAGAGCAGCTTTCAGTTGGCAGGGCTTCCCTGGATTTCCTCCCCTCTTTCTCCCCCTTCATCTGAATTTTAGTGTGTGAAAGTGGGCCCAGTTCAAAAATAGTCCGTAATGACTTTTTAAAAAGAAGAAAGAATGGAGAGAGGGAGAGTGGGAGAGAACAAAAATGAGGAAAGGAAATACCAATATGTAGTGATCACAAATATGCTCTTGGTTCTGGACATTGGACTAGAATGAAAATAAACATGTAATTAAAAAAATCAGACAAATTCCCATATAAGCAAAAGAAGAGAAAATAGATCTGTAACTATTTGTCTCAGAATCAAGCTGGGATTCAAGAAACACAGCTTCTATATTTTATTTAGTGGGTTTTGGGGTGTGCATGCGTACATGTGTGTATGTGTTTCCTTTCCCCACTCCCTTTCAAATTCAGCCTTTTCAGGGCAGGACAACTCAAATGCTTGCAGCTGTAACTGACACATTTTGACTTGGCATTGACTCTGGTCCAGATTAGACTGCAGAATAGCTAATGTTTGTGCACTTTCCTGGCCTGGAAGTGAATTGAATATTTACCATGTTAACCCACTAGGTAAGGAAGGAAAATCAGAGACTCAAGATGCAGTATAATGTTATGATTAAAATGCATTTGTGTTTAATTGTCAAGGGAACAAGGCATTACTTAATTACATCCTTTCCGCCCTTTTTATGGTGTACTGTGGTTAACCAGCCAGATGGATGAGATGGGGCCAAAGAAATGCATACTTTGGCCTCATTTGGGCAAACTAAGTCTACAGATGTATCTCATTTGGAAGATACTGATGTAGGTTTTGTTTGTTCTCTTAGGGAAAATCATCATCTTGAAACTTTTTAGGACTGAGGGAGGAAAAAACTTATCAAAAAAGAAGGGGAAATCATTCTTGAGCTGAGATCAACCTGTTAATCATTTAAAACATGTTTTTAGCCTTGTCCAAAGAATATCTAGTCATGTGATTTGGAGTTTAAAAATATCCTCAGTAACTTGCATCTCCCTCCCAAACTCACATACCCAAATTTCCCATAGACTAGCCTTCTCATGGTCCACCCAGAGACTATACCCTGGATGAACTTCTGCCCTGGGGCCCTGCTCTTTTGATTAGTGACTTCCTCTCTCACATTACTATTTCAGGAAAACCTTAGCCACAACCATCTCTCTCTCTCTCTCTCTCTCTCTCTCTCTCTCTCTCTCTCTCTCTTTCTCTCTCTCGCTCACTCGCTCTTGCTCTCGCTCTCTCTCTTCCCCCATGTTTCTGCCTCTGTTTCTCCCTCCCCCACTTTTCTGGACCATAGTACCTCTCCCTGGCCACCATTTCCCTGTCTGTGTTGTGTGCAAAGGCAGGAATTGTCTTTGCTTTTGTACCTCTATTCCCAGGGTTTAGCACAGTGCTTGCCACATAGTAAGTGATAAATAAATGGCTTTTTCACTTATTTATTCATCCAAACCCCTTCATTTTACAGATTGGAAAACTGAGGCTCAGAAAGGAAAAGGTGACCTGCTCAAAGCCACTGGTTAGTGGCACAGTTGGAACTAATAATAAGAACTAACATTTACATAGTACCTACTGTGCCAGGCACTATGCTAAGCACTTTACAATTATGATTTTATTTGATCTTCACAACAACCCTGAGAGGTAGGTGCTATTTTTATCATTCCCATTTTACAGATGAAGAAACCAAGGTAGACATAGCCTAAATGTCTTGCCTAGTACCACACAGCTAGTAAGTGTCTGAGGTCAGATTTGAACTCAGGTCTCATTCTTTCCATTGTGCCTCCGACTTGCCCCCAACTAGAATTTAGGTCCTGAATGCCTTTTGAATCATCAAAGAAAACCAAAGTTATATATATTCTCTCTCTTGATAGCACCAGCTCCAAGGATACAAGGATCCAACCATCATCCATGCAGATACTTCCTAAATCTCCTTTATCCTCTCATTTCTCTCCTGAGTGCTAGTCCCACACTTCTAGCTGTGTACTAAATCTCTACATTTGGAGGTTCCATAGGTATCTCAAATTCAACATGTTCAAAATGGATCTTATTAGCATTTCCCCTAAATCGATCCCTTCTTTTAACTCCTCTATTTCTGTTAAGAGCACCATCATTTTTTCATTCAAGTAGTTTCGAAACCTAGGAATCACTCCAAATTCTTTACTCTCCTTTGCTTCCCATAGCCAGTTAGCTGCCAAGTCTTGTCAATTCTACCTCCTCAATAGCTCTCAAATTTATCTCCTTTTTTCTACTCATATGACTACCACCTTAGTCCAGACCTCATCATATCTCAACCCAATTATTAAAAGTTTTCTAACTGATCTCCTTATATCTAATTTCTCTCCCCTCACCATAATTACGCAGTTGCTTTTCCTAAAATACAGATATGACCATATTATTTCATGGTAATGAAATTTCATTGGTTTCTCTCAACATTAGGATAAAACCTTAACTCTTCTTTTTTGGTATGTGATCTTAATAATCAGGTTCTAGCCTACTTTTTCCACACAACTCCCTCATGCACTCTCACATTCCAGACAAACTGGCTTACTTATAGTCCCATCTTTTCCTTCTCTGAGCTTCACATAGATTGTCATCTCCCATACCTAGAATGCTTTCCCTCTGCCTAAGGGAACCCCTAACTCCCTTCAAGGCTTAGCTCAAGAGCCAATTCCTTCACAAAGAATTCCCCTCAGTTACTAGTGAACTTCCTACCCTCAACCACTGCACATTTATTTTATATTTATCCTCTATTTACTTCTATGTAAACATTGGATCCCCTAGTAAAATGGAAGCTCCAATTAGGGCAAAAACTGTCTTACTTTTGTGTTTTCACATCTGGCTCCTAGTGTAGCACCTGACACATAGTAGGCACCTAATAAAAATGCTTGAGCATGATTGTATTGCTGTGTGGTTTCACAGTTTATAAGATTTATGGAAGGGAAAAGCCTTCAAGATCACCTCGTTGTTACCTCTGGTCTGATGCCTTTTCTTTTATCACAAACCTAGATGACTGAGAAGGAAACTATTTTTTCCTGTGTGCCAATGGGAATAAGACTCAGAAGTCTATGTTCCTTCTGCACATAAGCTAGCTTTTAAAATGAGCTACCTTTGTAGGTTTAGGAAAGGATGAAGACATGCTGTAGCTCCAAATTCAATTTCATTGGAAATTTTCCACAAAGAGCAAATGACCTAAGCTTTTTCAATATGACTAATATCTACTGGTTGCCTCTCTGGAGATAAGCAAGTTGATTTATCCAAGAATATTAGCTGAGGCCTAGAAATGTTTGGCATTTGGAAATAGGAACCAAACCCTTTGTCATGAAAATAATAATAACAACACAAATATAGGATCATAGATTAAGAGCTGTAGGGGCCCTTAGAGTTCATCTGATACAGTTCTTCTCATTTTGTAAGTGAGGAAGAGAAGTGAAGAGATTTGGTTGAAGTCACCTACATAGCAACAAGAATAGCAGCTACCATTTTCATAGTAGCCTAAGGTTTACAGAATATTTTACATAAGACATATGTCATGTTACTTGATTTTTACAACAACCCCGGGAGATAGATGTTGTTGTTATTTCCATTTTATAGTTGAGGAAGCTGAGGATGAGATAGTTTGTTTTGCCTAGTGTCACAAAGCTAGGAAGTGCCTGAGGCAGAATTTGAATTCAATTCCCTGTCTCCAGGGTCTAGCACTACCTACTATGCCACCTAGCTGCCTTTAGTCAGTGGCAAAGCTGGGATTCTCACCCAGCTCTTCTCCTACTACAAATCCAGTTCTCTTTGTATTGTACTATGCTGCCTCCCATATATAACAACAGCCCATCCCTTCACAGCAAACACCAATCCTGTGAGGGTGTTAGCACAAGTATTATTGCCTCATTTTGTGTTGGTATTATGGATATGATCTCCCTAAGGTGGATCCTCCCTTCACTTGTGCAGATTGCATCCCATCCATTCCTTTTCATCCTGCGCCATTCTTGTCTGTGGGTTTCCATAGGGGATCCACCCAATGTGCTGGAAATTTTCCTCTGACTTTTTTAACGTTTTGTGGGTAGTAATGAAACCCTCTTACCATCATTCGTTCTTCATTCTTGCTGGATGACTGGCCGACCTTCTTTTCCGATCACGAATTTCCTTGGCAGTGTTTTTACTCCACTTCTTTCACACAAGTTATCAATGCTAATATCCTTCAGCTTATTTATACCCGCCATTCATCTTTCCACAGCCCTATGGGTCACCACCTGAAATCTTGTGGTTTTCCATGTTTCCATGGCGTACAG